GAACTGACATGTATTGCTTTTCCCATCAGTAGTACAGTAAAAAGTGGTTCACACTGAAATATTGCTACATTTTGCTGGAAAAGGCATCGTAGAAATGCTGACCCAAACCAAATAAATCTGGAGACACATGTATATGACTTATAATGAAGCAATTAAGCTCTGACATGTTTTATTAGCAATGGCTGCATGTGTTGGCTTGCTGTGGATGTGTCCCAGGGCACCAATGCGTGTCACTATCACAGCAGACGATAAGCTTTGGCTCGCCTTTGACCCCACACCTCATTAATCAACTGCTCACGAATATCTGACCTCCTCCACCTACCTCTCAAACATGCCTTCTAATTTAGCGCTAAAATATACATAAAACACTCCCAAGCAACATAAACATGCACACATGGATGAGAAGAGACTGGATTATGTGATTCCGATCTTTCAGTCAAAATGTGTATTTTTCTGATAATTTCTGATAATGGCCAACCAGCTTTGCAGAATTATTATTAACCACACTTCATGGTATTATAATTATAATTTTTTCAAGGATAATGTGATGCTGAAGACTGGAATAATGGCTGCTAAAAATTCAGCTTTGCCATCACAAGAATAAATTATATATATATATATAAAAAAATATTAAAATAGAAAAATAGTTATTTTAATTTGTAATACTAATTCATAATATTACAAAAATTTTTTACTGTAGGTTTCTTCACTTTCACCTCTCAGGTTTCCTTTTCCTCTGAGAAAACAAGTCAATTAGAGAGTTTCAAGGGCTGAGTGTTGTTGAGAGAGGATGTAGATATGATAGTCTATCATATCTGTCATGCCTGGCATTTGTCCATGCTAATCGTCACTGTAAAACAAGCTGCTGAAAGGTTATGCTGCATATGAACTTTCCTCTGCTCTCTGTACTGAAACATTTGATAAATGGGCAGCTCCTTAAGATTCCTTCAGAAGCCCCAGGCTGCTCTACATCTCGCCATGTCATCGTTTGTTTATTGTGTACTGACAGCTGTAACTATGGCGATGCCCGTTTTTTGTGACTCTGCAACAGCTGTTTTTTTTAACTGCCGACGTTTCAGCTGGAGGGACCATGAATCCCCCACAACCAGGAATGTAAAAGGCGATGGTCACCTGGAGGGCTTTTCTTCCATTACATCTAACTCACCTAAATACCTCTACGTCTTTGATTTGATATATTTTCAGTCCCACGTCTGTGCGCTCTGATTTTAACTTGGTCTGGAGGGTTATCTCAAGGCTAACGTGTCCCTTTAGGAATACTCCTGGTTAACTAGAAATTGACCTCTGTCAACAGCATCTGTTCCATGCTGTTTATTACCACTGAGAACAAGTTCAAATCAACCCCCTGTTTGTAAAAATAAAACAATAAACATGCTGACATTTGTTTCAACGTGCTTACAATGGAAATCTTTTGGGCAATCATTGTATAGTGTGCAACAGATGCTGTCGATATAACTCAACTTGTATTTAGGCTGAAATATTCTCTTAACCTGCTATTTTGGGGACGTTTAGCGATGCACAATATAGTAGTACTGTATTGGATATCAGCTGTTATTAGTGAACAATATTGTAAATCAGGGTCGGAAATTAAAGGGGGCTTGTGGCAAAAATGCCACCAAAATTAACCTAAATGCACCACAAATTCAAGACAAAGGGTCAAAAATTGCCCCTGCACAATTAAACAATCGATTATGGCTTTCGCATTTAAAATGAAACTTGAAAATTAATGAAAAGTGTCTATTCGTGTAATTACATTTTGAATCACTCACACTGCATCAAATGGTTTTTTTACGCAAATTT